CATTTCTCATTGGGAATTGTACCTTTACATAATGCATCTTGGTTCTTATTTTTTCCCCATTCCTAGCCCTCCCTTCATGCCCTCCACCCTTCCCTATTCTCATTCTTTCTTTTTTTCACCCCTGTACTGGAAATTGAACCCAGGGCTTTTGCACTGAGCTACATCCCCAGGCTCTCCACCCACCCACTTTTATTTTTGAGACAGAGTCTAACTAAGTTGTTAAATTGCCTGGGCTGGGCTCAAACTTGCAATCCTCCTCCCTCAGCCTCCCAGGGTGCTGGGAATTAGAGTACCCAGATCAGGAGGTCAATTTTTGTTTGTTTGTTTCATTTTGGTTTTTATTTTTGTTTTTTGAGACAGGGTCTCGCCATGTAGTTGAGGCTGGCCTTGAACTCACTATGTAGGCCAGGCTGGCCTCAAACTTCCAGTGATCTTCCTGCCACAGCCTCCTGAGTCCTAGGATTATAGGCATGAGCCACCACACCCAACATAGGAGGCCAATTTTGTTTTGTTTTGTTCTGTTTTTTGAGACAAAGTCTGCTATGTAATTCAGACTGGCCTTGAACTCAGTATGTGGCCCAACCTGGCCTCAAATCTGCAGCAATTCTCTTGCCTCACCCTCCCAAATTTCACCATGCCTGGCTGGAAGCCAGTATTTAAAGAGAAGCTGAGGTGGGCCAGGGTCTAGTTGATTAGTATCTCAATCCTGGTTTATAGCTCAAGTTGAATCCTCATGACTTGAGGGGCAATTTGGTTGCCATAAGAGGAATTTTCATGGCCATACCATTCCCAGGAAATGATTGTGTATGGTGGTTTCAGTGTTGTGGAACTCTACTTTTCTTGGAATCCAGATGATCACAGGTTCAGGACAATGACTGGAACTTTCAGCTAGTTGAATATCCCTGTAAATCCATTATCTTGGTATCCTCAGTTTTGAAGGAAGATGAGGTTAATATAAATTTAGGGTGCCAGGTGTGGTGGTCCACACCTATAATCCCAGCACTTGGGAGGCTGAGGCAGGAGGATCACTGAGAATTCAAGGTCAGCCTGGCCTACATAGTGAGAATGAGTCTCAAAAATAAATAAATAAATAAATAAATGTATTTTAAAAATTAAATTCAGGGTGAATCAATCTTGTTTTCCCAACTTTTCTACATCCAGAACTGAGAAGGGATTTGACCAATAAGGATTTGGGGATGGCTGGAGATGAGAGGGTAGAGAGGGGAAGGGGAAGTAAAAATGATTAAGATTTATGTGTACATGACAATTCTCCAAGGTGAATGTGATTATTATATATCCATACATACTAATAAACTCTTACAGTTAGTGGTAAAAAAAAAAAAGCAATAAACTCTTACAGTTAGTAGTAGTGGATTCCAGAAACAAAACAAGAAGGATACAAAATGGAGGTCAAGCTTTGTTCTGTTTTTAGCATCCTATTGAGCAGATATCTGTAAGCCCAAATGAAGTTTTTTTTAATCCCGTAAGTTTATTGGTACATTTTAGGTATACATTATGATCACATCCATCATTGGGAATCTGTACCTGTACATGATATATCTTGGTTCTTGTTTTTTTTTCCCATTTCCCTTCCCAAAGAGTTTTTTGTTGTTGTATTTGTTTTGTTTTGTTTTGTTTGCAGAAGTGACTTTTAAGTCCTTGTCTCAGAAGAAAACACAAATCATGTTTTCAGTGAGTAACAAGCTAAGGGCCCAGGAGTCTGCCCATCCTCATTCCTATAGTGTCCTCTATGTCATGACTATGTCACAACCACAGTTGTTCATTAGTACATTGGTGCCAGTGACTAGGAGTGTAGTGAGATCCCTTCTCTGGCCAAATAATAAGTCAGAGCTCCAAAATACTGCATATAATTTCTAAGGTAAGGCCTTGGAGGAACTCCCATTACAAAACTGTTCAAGTTCCTTGATCAGAAATGCATTTTTCTAGACTTTTTGTGGAGGCATTGCAGGACTAGAGACATCTGTTTAGCTATACTTAGGCAGCACAGGGGTGGAGTAAGAGATATGCCATCTCCACAGGAAGTGAGAGCCCATTTTAGAAGTTCCACATGACAATTATCAGCCAAATATTAGAAGAGACTAAAGGGAGTGGCTATAGTAGAGTGTTCCATGTGGCACCATCTTGTCTGGGAGTCCATTATCCTGTCACCAGCCCCCCACCCCACCCCCCAGCTTCAAGTGCCCCTAAAATCTAATTCCACAACTCAGCTATAGACCTGGAAACACATAGAAAGTTATGAGGGGAGTATATTTTGATTCTGCTTGGCTTGCTTGTTATCAATTTGCTATGAATAAGTTAACATCTTATCACACCAACGTTTTCACTTTCAAAGTGAGAAGAGGAGGAAAAATGGCACCCTCTGCCTCAGAAATAAATGAACCTGAGGGGAATCTGTGATGGTCCTGTAGTGGGACATGGGCCTCCTTGTGGATATGGGGACAGGACAGCCATGAAGTACTCAGTACACATGGCTCTCTTGAGTGGGGAGTTAATCTTGGGGTCCCCCTAGGGTCCTTTAAGGCCTGCCAAGTGTCTCTAAGCATCTGAGGGGCACTAGGCACACACACACACCCCCCATTGGAAGACTGTTGTTTGTCTCAGGAAGCTGTTTGCCTCCTTACAGGACATTATCTTGTAGTTGCAGGCTCAGGGCAGCCAGTGTGAATTCTGCCAATTCACAGAAAACTTCCAAAAGGCTGCACTCTCTTGCCAGTGTGTGAGGGTGGCTTCCTGACACCCCATTGTAGTTGAGAAGTCCAGAATGCCCAGCACCACTCAACCAGACCCATACCCTCACTGTGCTGGATACCCACAGACCTCACTCATCCTGTATTGAGGGCCTGGGTGGCGCCTAGCTGGGTGGGGTACATGTGTTGGGGTGGGGATCAAGGAGGGTATGTGCTGCAGTGGAACTGTGAATGAGTGTCAATGATGGGGCTACCCTAGGCCACATTAAGCTCCCGTCTCAACCTGAGAGGTTTGTGCAAGGTGGATTAGCTGGGTGTGTGGCAGTGGGTGGAAACCTTCGTAGAACCTTGCGAAGGATCCCCACGCGATGGAAACTGCGCAGCCGGTGCGGGATCCAACGCCTTGAGGGAGGGAGCAGGCGCTGCGCGCAGGCGGCGCTAGCTGGCGGGCGGGGCGGCCACAGCGCTCAGAATCGTGGCTGCTGCAGTGGCGACAGCAGGTGGGTCGCAGCGGGTCTGGTGGGGGACGGGATCCGGCTCAAAGAACAGCCTGAGACTCGGGTAGCTGGGGACAGGGACACAGCGGAGCTTGCTCGGGCGGCGGCGGCGGTGTGTGGGTGCACGGGGAGGTGCGCAGGTCTTGGCTCCAGATCCGAGGCTCGGGGCCCGGGAGCCCCTGCCTTGAGACCAGGTGAGCTGAGACTCCCGCCTGGCAGCAGGGGGGTGATTGCTACCCTTCCAGGCCAGGTGGCCTTTTTGGCCACGCCCCGAGCTGCAGAGTCTGTCCTGTTCCGGGTCCTCCAGGCCTGGCCCAGTTCCCGGGAAGCCTCCCCGCATTTCACCTTTTTCTTGGATCCTAGACCACTGAGCTGTTACCAGCCTCTCTTGCTTCCTGGGGCTGCCTTCTTCCCACCCTCAGAGCCACCTAGCTGGCTGCCCTGAAAGCATACAGGACCGCCATGCCTCCCTGTAACCTCCTGCCCCAGTCCAGCCCTACAGCAGGCCCTCTTTATGGGTGTCCAGGGTCCCCAGGAGGAGACAAAGAGAAGAGTCAGGATGGGACTGAAGCTGGCCAGAACCATCAGCCTGTCATTCCCCTCTGTCAGGCCCTAGGAAGTTCCAGCTGCTGGCTTGGTGCTCTGAGCCTCCTGTCATGGCCTGGGGACTGCCCACTGCTGCCAGCCTGGCACGTTTCTGCCAGAAACTGAACCGGCTGAAGCCACTAGAGGAGTCCAGCATGGAGACATCTCTGCGGCGCTGCCTGTCCACACTGGACCTAACCCTGCTGGGTGTGGGTGGCATGGTGGGCTCAGGCCTGTATGTGCTCACAGGCACTGTGGCCAAGGACATGGCTGGGCCTGCCGTGCTCATGTCCTTCGGTGTGGCCGCTGTGGCCTCCCTGTTGGCAGCCCTGTGCTATGCAGAATTTGGAGCACGAGTGCCCCGCACGGGTTCTGCATACCTATTCACCTATGTGTCCATGGGGGAGGTGTGGGCCTTCCTCATAGGCTGGAATGTGCTCCTGGAATACCTCATTGGGGGTGCCGCAGTGGCCCGTGCCTGGAGTGGCTATCTGGATGCCATCTTTAGCCACAGCATTCGAAACCTCACTGAGTCTCAAGTGGGTGTCTGGCAGGTGCCCTTCCTGGCCCAATATCCAGATTTCTTGGCTGCCGGCATCCTGCTCGTGGCTTCCACCTTTGTCTCCTGTGGAGCCCGAGTCTCCTCCTGGCTCAACCACACCTTCTCAGCTATCAGCCTGATTGTCATCCTCTTCATCATCATCCTGGGCTTCATCCTGGCCCGCCCTCACAACTGGAGTGCTGAGGAGGGTGGCTTTGCCCCCTTTGGCTTCTCTGGCATCATGGCGGGCACTGCTACCTGCTTCTATGCCTTTGTGGGCTTTGATGTCATTGCTGCTTCCAGTGAGGAGGCCCAGAATCCCCGGCAGGCCGTGCCCATGGCCATTGCAATCTCCCTTGGTCTGGCAGCCAGTGCCTATATCCTTGTCTCTACTGTGCTAACCCTCATGGTGCCCTGGCACAGCCTGGACCCTGATTCTGCACTTGCTGATGCTTTCTACCGGCGGGGCTACAGCTGGGCTGGCTTCATCGTGGCAGCTGGCTCCATCTGTGGTAAGAGGCCCTTCCAGGCAGGGTGGGAGAGAACAGTGCATTGTGGCCCTTCCCTGAGCCTCTCAGAGAACACATCTCCATCCAGTCCTCAGTTTTACCAGTTACATAATGGGCCCAGGAAAGTGCTAATTTTGGGGGGGCGGGGCGGTGCCAGGGATCGAACTTGGAACCTTGCACTTGCACAAGTGCCAGAACCACTGAGCTAAATCCCCGGCCCAGAAAGTGCTAATTTTTAAGACTCTCTACCTAGGCTTGTTAGGGAGGGCCCCACCCCCACCCCCATCCCCACCCCACTTGTACATAGAAATCAGTTCTAGCCATGTACTTACAGGTCCTTTCCTAGACAGTGGGACTCAGCTTCATCAGATTCCCCAATGGGTCTGTGACCTAAACTGGAATGCCCCATTCCTGGGTGGTCAAGTGACAATCCAGTACCCCCACACACACTCATACCGAGACCCCCGACAAACTCATGCCCATGTCTCCAAGGGGCCAGCCACACCCCAGCCCCACCAGCAGCCCCTGCTGGGCTTATTTACCATGCTCACAGTTCCACTACCCTTTGCTGCAGCCATGAATACCGTCCTCCTCAGCAACCTCTTCTCCCTGCCGCGCATCGTCTATGCCATGGCCACCGATGGGCTCTTCTTCCAGGTGTTTGCCCATGTGCACCCCCGAACACAGGTGCCTGTGATGGGCATTCTGGTGTTCGGGGTCCTCATGGCTCTCCTGGCACTGCTGTTGGACCTAGAGGCACTGGTCCAGTTTCTGTCCATCGGCACCCTGCTGGCCTATACCTTTGTGGCTGCCAGCATCATTGTGCTGCGCTTCCAGAAGTCATCTCCACCCAGCTCCCCAGGCCCAGCCAGCCCTGACCTCACAGCCAAGAAGTATGACTCCTTCTCAGACCACATACAGCTAGTGGGTGCTGTGCAGGCCTCAATCCCTGAGCCTGGACAGCTTCGACCATCCCTGAGGCCCTACCTGGGCTTCCTGGGAGGGCTCAGCCCTGGAACTGCTGTGGCTTGGGCACTTGGCATCCTGGTGGGCTCAGCTATCATGCTGGGCTGCGTGCTGGTCTTTGGAGACTCACCCCTGTACCTCCCACAGTGGGGCTACATCCTGCTGCTCCTAATCAGTGGTATGGTATTTCTGCTCAGCCTCCTGGTCCTGGGAGCTCACCAGCAACAGCACCGGCAAGACACTTTCCAGGTACCTTCCTAGCAAACCCTGTTCACTCTCAGCGCAGCCAGTGCCCTTTGCCCCTTCCTTTTCTTCCATCCCATAACAAACAAGGGTCCATGGGGAGACCTGTCCATCCATTCTCACCCCCATCTGTCTTTCTGCATGGTGAGGGAGCTGTCTTCAACAGCTCCAGAGACAAATAGAGGCTCTGTGGAATTTTTGTAAAGTCAGGCCCTGGGCTGGCAGCTCTTTCCTGCAGCCCAGCTCAGCCTTTCCCTTGCACCCTCAGATCCCCCTGGTGCCCCTGACTCCAGCTCTGAGCATCCTCCTCAATATCTGCCTCATGTTAAAGCTGAGCTACCTGACCTGGCTGCGCTTTGCCATCTGGCTGCTGATTGGTGAGTAGGGGCCAGGCTGGGAGCTTGAGTGTGTGCAAGGGGGAGGCAAGAGGGCAGGCAAGGCTGGAACCTGCCCCTCAGGCTCATTACCACCCCTGCAGGACTTGCCGTGTATTTCGGCTATGGCATCAGGCACAGCAAGGAGAACCAGGAGGAGTCACCAGAGCTGAACACCACACGATATGTGGTATTCCCCAGCGGCAGCCTGGAAGAGACAGTGCAGCCTGTGCAGCCCATGCAGCCGGCAAGCCAGGCACCAGCCCAGGGGCCTGACAGCATGGAGTAGCTGGCAAGTCTGTGAGCCATGTTGTTTTTGCCCTGCCCTCCCCTACATCCTTGAGAGGCCAGAGGAGCTGGGAGCTGCTTCTATCCAGGGCAACAGGTTTACAGCCTGCCCAGGCTAGGAGGTTCTCAGGATGTTAGGACTCTATCCCAGGTACTGAGCTTCTGGTCTTCAGGGAATAGACCTCAGTCAGCATCAATACAGTGGACTCTGCTCAGCACCTTCCTATTTATGACCAACTCCAGCTAACAGGCAGGTGGGGTAGGCTGGGCAGCAAAGAGGTTCTAGCCCCAGAGATCCATAATAATAACTGCTTGGCCAGCCATATCGGCAACCACCATGTCCACTGTGGCATTCTTTGTGACACTGAGTCCTCATCTATCCCCCAGGAACAGGATGCAGCAAAGATGCTGAATTTCTCCAAAGGTAGCTCTGGGACCACCCACATGGCCAGTCCTGGGTCCAGGCCCTTCCCTCAGGACAGTGCCTTCTGACTAGCTCAGAGGAGAGCTACATGCACCTGATGAAGAGGGAGGGGTCCATGGTGGGTGTCAGGGCAGGCTCCCTACATGTCCTTGTCAAGTAGATCAAAGGAGCAGAGCCTGGACCCTGAGAAGGTTGCCTGGAAAAGGCAGTGGGCTTCCAGAGAGACAGCGTGTGCCTGAAGCCTACCCCAGAGACACTGAGCCACATCTGCACACAGGCACATGACACCCCCCCCAACACACACCATTGGCCACATGTCTGCATGGCTCACACAGCTACCCTGGGGGTCCACACCCATGTCCAGACTGAGGTGACACCTGTTAACAAACTCAAGCCTGGGCTACACATCACTTTCTTGTCTCTCTCTGCGCACTCTGCCAGGATTTGAGGTAAAGGCTGAGATGGTGCATACATGACTCATATATAGATGTGCATGAGGGCATAATTGCCTGAGCCTGCCCCTACTGCCTTCCGGCCCACTTAGTATTGCCCAAACAGGGAGGAGAGAATTCCTGGAGAAGCCCTAGGCCAGTGATGGCGAACCTTTTAGAGATGGAGTACCCAAACTGCAACTCAAAACCCATTTATTTATTGCAAAGTGCCAACACTGGCCCTGTGTGCACTGTCATCTAATGCTTGGCTGCTGGGGCAATATTAGGGTTACTTGACTTTCGTGCCAGAGTAGACTGTGTGCCCAGTACAGCATGTGTGCCATAGGTTCACCACCACTGCCCTAGGCCCAAGCTGCATTCTCCCTGAACTGGGTCCTCATGGCTGTGCTGTGTCCACTCTGGTCACTTCTTCCCTCCTCCCTGTAAGGAGTACACAGAAAGCTGCTGGCTTTGGCAAGCTTTTATGCCAGCAGTGACATCAGGTTTCTCTGAGCCCCAAGGACAATGTGACCCACCTCCAGTAGCCAGGCCTTTTGGGCCATGCCTTTCCACCCTAGCCTTTTGGAGACCACCTTCTCTGGACACTGAGGCCCTAGGGAGGCACCGAGGACCCCAAAGGATTTACTGATGCTGTGGGTTCCAGATGATTCCAGATGCTAGCCCAGTTTCAGCCCAAGCCCTGGCCCTTCCCACCATGCCCCTGGTCACCATGAGAAACCAGCCTCTCACTTCTTCCATGGGGTGGGTACTCCCAAATCCATGCCCCACCCTGGAACCAAGAGAGGGCTTGGCTCCTATGGCCTTGTCCCTCCCATCCTACTGTGGGTCCCAGGATATAGTTGAAATTTCTATCAGGTAGGACCTAAGACCCAGGAGGATTCCAGGACCAGAACCTGGCCAACCTTCAAGGGAACCTCAATGTCCTTTATTAGAGACATTCCTTGCAGCCACTGTACTCTCCCTAAGGTTAAGATTAGGGCCTCTGCAGTGCAGATGCCTCTGGCTAGGTTGGGCAGCTGGCCAGAGAGGTTCCTAGGTATGACTTAGAAGGCAGTAAATTCCAGGTGCATGGCCTTTCCACTCCTGGGGCTCTCGGGAAACCTAGTGGTCAGTTTCCAGGGGTGTGGGCTGGGGGGACTACAAGGAAGTATAGAGAAGGCCCCAAAAGATTCAAGACCACCAACTCAGCCCCACCACTGTCTCCTCCCTGTCTCAGCTGTTTATAACAGCCAAGGGCTGCCACAAAGGAAGGGGAGGCACTCACAGGCTGAGCACTGTACCTGTGATGCAATCAGATCCCCCCACTCCCTCACCTCCATAGCTCATGTGCCACACACATCTCCATAAACAAAACTGGTTTTTATGGATTCCCAGGTAGCACTTCACCAAGGCTGGACCCAGGCTGGACAATCTTCCTGGAAGTTTAAGGGCAGAGTTCTCCCTCCAACTCCTACTGCAGTCCATCTGGGGCTCCATCTTTGAGATTCCTAAGCCAGGACCCCTACCCTTTCCCATCCCAATTCCCCAAACCCCAACAAACAGGGAGTGGCTATAGGCCTTAGGAATAGGCAGGTAAGTGGGTGCTGGAACCCAGACAAGAGCTCAGATTGATGTCTGGCACCCAGAAGCAGTGACTGTGGGGGCAGGTGGTGCCACCATCTAAGGCATCTGGACAGCTGGACTTGTGGGTGTGACAGTTGGCTTGGTCCGTGAAAGGTCCCTAGTCACCTTTGGGGCTTTTGCCTGCAGACAAAGACAGCAGGTTAGGGATCTGGCTGAAATCTTCCAAACTGTGGCAAAACCCAGTGCCTAGGCAGATTTTCAACTCACCTCCTCATACTTTGTCCTCCAGTAGAAATGGGCTTCTCTATCCACATATAGCAGCAGCAGATCACAGAGGAAGGTGACCTGGAAGAGGCAGGGTCAACCCATGTCCCACCTTCAAGCTGCTCACCTCCCACCTCCCCAGCTCTCACTCCAAGACACAATGTGCCGTCATAGGGGGCTCTGGCAGACGGGGAATCACTTGCTGCAGCCAGAGGGAGCTGAGGGTGATCGGACTCACCACATCCAGCCAAGCTGCTCCGGTCCCCACTGTGATGGCCGTGGGGATGAGCCTGAACATCCCTGCCTGAGAGAGCTGGGATGAGCCTTTCAGCCATGACTGTCACCATACACTTCCTCCACGCCCATCTATCTGTAACCTTCTCCCCTGGCCTGATCCCTACCTGCCCAGTGACAAGGACGTTAAAGCGGATCCCGTAGAGCTTGAGCATGCTGCGAGCTTCCATACCTGGGGACTCCCACCAGTGGCTGGCTGTCCTGGGGGAAGGAGAGAGGGCTTTGGGGGCCTATAATGCCCTTCTTGGGCTGGGATGGTTTTCCCAGGCCTCAGTCTTACTTACCCATTGACTCCATAAACCCCTACCCCAGCCTGAGTCCTGGGTCTTGGCCCTGGGTAGCTGGTAAGAACATAAGGAAAAAGCACACTGGGACCTGATTCAAGGAAGCTTCCCGCCTACTGAGGGGACAGTGGGACATAGATAGCAGCAGCAAGGGATGAAAGGAGGACGTCAGGATGGAGGTGAGAGCAGGTGGAATGTTATGAGAGCCTCAAGGCAAGAATTCACTCCCCCAGAAATGGGGAAGAAAGCACATATGGTTGGTTTCCTAAAGGAGGTCCACACTGAGGGAGCAAGGCTAGCCAAGGGCCATAGGTGGGAGAAGCAATGAGGACAGGGAGTCAGCACCACAAGCTTCCAAACAGCTAGGGAAAGAGGAAAGCCAGATTTGGCAGGATACAGGAAGCTATCCCTACATCATCCCCAGGCCTGATGGCAGCCACATATGCACACTTGGTTCATGTGTGTATGACAAGGTGACAGTAGGTGGGAACTTTCCAAGATGTTCATAGGAGACTTAAAAGACAAGACAGTAAATCCAATTTAAGATCTTTTAGTGCATCCTGGATTGGAAAAATACAAAGATTTAGAACCATAATTGGCATAGGTGAGACAATATAAATATTAGGTTTAATCTGCTAATGTTAATCTTTCAGGTGTATGATTAGGATGGTGGTCAAATGGAAAAGATCCTTATCTCAGGACAGTGTTAAGAAGAGTGAGTGTCTCATACCTGCCACTTACTTTCAGACAGTTTGTTGTTTTTGGTGTGGGAGATTGAACACAGGATTGTGTGAATGTGGGCAAGTGCTCTATCACTGAGGTCCACCCCAGCCCATAACTGTTCTATTTGCAATCTACATATATCCATCTCACTCTAGACAGGAAGAGAGAAAGCAAAGGAGGCCAAATGCAAAACAATAACAATGAATTAACCCAGGCAAGAGCATGGGCATATGGATGTTCATGGTACTAATCTTTTATTCATTCATTCATTCATTCATTCTTCCATTCATTCATAGTTTTTGAGGTACTGGGGATTGAACCCAGGGTCTTCACACTGAAGTACATCCCCAGCCCCTCCTCTTTGTTGTGTTTTGTTTTTATGAGACAAGGTCTTATTAAGTCACTATTTCCTAGAATGGGCTGAAACTTGTCATCCTACTGCCTCAGACTCCCAAAGTGCTGGGATTATAGGCCTGTGCCACCATACCTGGCTTTCTTTGAATTTTTTATAGACTTTTGGGAAAAGTTTTAGATAAAACTATAAGCAGAAAGTAAACATTAAAGCCTCTATGCCCTGATGGGGAGATGCTGAAGGCAGGGTGGGGTAGGGAAGGGGCCACCCCAGAGTCTGGAAGTGGGGAGTCTGCACTAGACAAGGGGTGGGGACAGATGGACGGGGAGGACAAGGGACTAAGAAAACTTCCTCTTGCACCCAGAATCCCCAGGCCACATTCCAGGGACCATCCACAGGGCCAGGACCCAGGTATGATCTGTCTTGGCAACCACAGGGAAATGGGCAAGGGAGGACACTGGCCCAGGAACAGCAAGGAAGCAGTAGGGGTCACACCTGAAGTTGTAGCTCCTCTCCTCCATCTGGAAGGAGTAGTGTGGCCAGCAGTCAGAGCCCCCAGTATCCAGATCGCAATCCCAATGGACTCGGATGCTCACAGCGCCACCCTGCACACAACACATCTCATGTTCCACCGATGGGCCCAAGACCTGATCTCTTCAGGAACCCTTTTCTTCAAGGACCTACCATCAGTGCCAGGTCCTCGAAGTCCCCTCCAGCTGCAGTCACAAGGTCCCCAATTCGGAACACTGGGCAGTAGGGGCTGGAGAGTGGATCATAGCGACACTGCTTGAAATAGGAAGCATCCCACGTGTCTAAGGAATTGGTTCTGGGAGAGGCAAGAGTGAGGATTAGATCATCGGGAGGGCCTGGAGGGCCTAGTGTCAGCCAGGACCTGCCTTGCTTACTTGGAGAAGTTGAACTTGCTGAAGGTGACGGTGTTTTTAATGAGCAGCGTGAAGTTCTCAGCCTGGATCAGCAGGGGCCTCCTGCAGGTGGAGGGTACACTGCCAGAATTTTGCCCAATTCAGGGCCCTGCCCTGGGACTGAAAGGAGACTTACGTGGACACAGCGCCATTCTCCACTGGGCACCAGCTCTGGATCTCACAGGTCCTGTGGGTGCCGTTGAACACCACACACTGACCTGTTTTTATGCCTTGAAAACAGAAGATGAACTCTAGGCCCTTAGATCCCCAAAGGGCCCGGGGAGGGTGCGGGGCAGGGGCTTATTGGCAGAACAGAGAGATGCAGGGTCCCAGCCCTGCTCACAGTTACCATGGCTGTGTGTTCCTGTCTCCCCTTCAGGGCAGTCCTCGTCAGTCCAGCAGTTAGCCAGTAGGACAGAGGGGTGCTGAGGTAGACAAGAGACCCCAGTCACCAGTAGCCCAGGGGTGCCGCCCCTCTGGGACTCAGCCCTACAGTCTACAAAGACACCCTGCTCCCACTTAGCCACCAGGGTACCCAGGTTTAGAAGCTTGGAAGCTGGAGGGTGCAAACAATGGAGGTGGTCAGTGGGGTGGTCAGATGGGATATAGTGCTGTATTGCCAGGGCAGAGTGAGACCCCTTTGCTCTTGAGAGTTTCCTCTGATGGGGGCAGAAGAGAAAGAGGATTCATTGAGGTCTGGCTCCTCAGCTCCAATTCAGACAATGGAACAGGAAAGGGGAAGGGACTTTGCCCAGGTAAGTTCATGATATCTGGCATGCCAGGGCAGAGAGGCTAGAGGGCATGTCCAGTAAAAAGCAGGACCCTAAGTCACAGCAGCCTGTGACTGAGGTAGGGAAGTAGCATCCCACAGACTTGGTGCAGAACCACAGGTTAGTTCCTTCCTGCTTGCTCTTTTCATGTCTGTACAGAGTCAAACACTATGGGGGATGCCTAGGAGGGAAAGGTGGGCAAGCTTTGTAGGGACCCCAGACCCTGGAAAAGAAGGCAATCTACAGCTTCGGAAACTGTCACAGACATGCCACTGCCACGGCACTCAGTTCATGGGCAGCCAGAGGAACACAGCACCAGGAGTCTGAGAAGGGCTCAGGGACTCTGGAAAGCCAGAATGAGATGTGGGACTTGGTGAGGGATAGGACTATGATTAGTGGGCAGAAGACAGAGGAGGACAGAGTGGAGCCCCCTGCTCTGCTGTCTTCACTTGTGTCTAAGAATCTCCCTTTTCCTCAGGCTAACCTGGTCATAGACCCCATGGTGACCACCGATGAGGCCTCTGCCTCTACCCACTAGCCCGAGTGCTCCATTCCAATACACAAGAGGTAGAGTGCCCCTTTGTGTGCCCATCTCTGGCTTCCTTCTGCCTTCCTTTCTTCTTTCCTTAGCAGGGCTCTTGGGCCCCTGAGATCTTAGGCGACCCCCTTTCTACTCTGGTCCAAATCTTTACTTCAACATAAACATAAGCATAGTCATAAGCAAGAGTGTGCTGTTTGCCCTCAAAACTGGAAGCTACCTCCACACACTAATAGAGGCTGGGCACAGAGAAGAGAAGGTGATCTTCCACCTTCTTGCCTCTTGCTATTAGAGCCCACCTGAGCCCTGCTCCAGGTGTCACACCAACAACCTGGACAGTAGCCCAAGCTGGAACGAAGATGAGGATCGTACACCTCAAGGAAACTGAGGTCTGGGTGCTGTCACCCACGGGCCTGGAGGCCTTGGGCAAGTTTCTCAACTTTGCTGAGCCCCAGTCATCTCCTCTTCAGTGGGAATCATAATTCCTTCTGAGAAAGGGTCTATGTAAAGACTAAATTCTGTACAGAAGGATTTAGCCCCATGCCTGGTATACATAAAGCACATATTGAGCCTTCGGCCACCTGTGAAGGAGGGAGACAGGGCTGGTGAGCCAGGCTGCTGAAGGAAGTATGAAGCCACTGAGAGGCTCCCAGGCAAACTTACCTCTGGGCATCTGCCCTGAACTTGAGCTGGTGTCACAAGGAAATTGGTCACCAAGAAGAACACATTCTCTCCCTAGGAGGTAAGTCTCAAGGTTAGTCCCTGCTGGCTCCTTCAACTGAAGAGGCCAGAAACCGATTGCCAGGGGTTTTTTGGTCGTTGTTGTTTGTTTTTGGTTTTGTCAGTTCTGTAAAACCCAGAGCCTCCCAGAAGCTTGGTTTATGAGGGAACTGTTTGTTCTTGGCCTCAACTTGTCACCAATTCTTGTCTCTTAGGAAAATGTGTCTAGTGAGGCAGGTGGAAGTGGTTGGGTTTCTGGTCCTCTCTTCCTTCCTGAGATTGAACCCAAGGTGAACTGAACCACATCCCAAGCCCTTTAAAAAAATTTTAGTTACCCAGGTTGGCCTTGAACTTGCAGTCCTCCTGCCTCCTTCTCCCAAACAGCTTGGGTTACAGGTATGGGCTACTGTGCCCATGTGGTTTCTGGCCCTGGGTCCCTCATGTACATGTTCATCTTTGACACAAGTTAATTCTCACATTCATTCTCATTCACTCAACCATAGTTTTCCAAGATCCTCCTGTCTCAGGCACCAAAGAGCCAGAGTCAAGTTGAGGCCATGTGGACCCCTCATCACATGCACAGACGCACTGGCACAGCAGGGGCTGGGGAAACACACAGTAAGCTCTATATGGGGTCAATGAGTGGCTGAAGACATTCAAAAGTGCTGCTTATGACAGCACTATGTATTTGGAGGTGGGAAGATGAGGGCTGGCAGAGGACAGTGAAATGTGGCAGTGAAGTTAGGAAATGGAGAGACTTGATGGCAACCATCATGGAAGAAGAGACTTCCAAGGGCAGAGAGCAGGGGCTGGTGGGCTCTGATGAAGTCAAGTATAAAAGCTCAGCCTGGCTGCTGTGTGATGTGCACTTTAGGGAAGGGAACAAGGGAGAGGAATCAAGGAGTTCACAACAGGAGCTGCAGTAAAAAATGTTGAGATGGACAAAAAGGGATCAAAGCTGGGTCCTGGTTCTGGCTTTGGCACTGATGAATGTCACAGCCCTCACTGGACAAGAAGCCAGGACTCCAGGAAAGAGAGATGATTTCTCCTTGGACAGGTTGGGTGTGCATCTGGAAAGCAGCTCCTCTCTAGGCAGGCGGTCACTGGGGCTACAATCTGGGGATCAGCAGAACAGAGATGGAGATTGGGGCTGAGGCCAGCTGGGTGGAGGGAGAAGAGACATGCAGCCTGAAAGAGCAGAAGAGGAGCACTTGATAATGGTTCCCCAGGTAAGAGGGAGATTCAGGAAGTTCAGACCCCAGATCCTTCCTCCCCTCCCACCCCAGCTTCAGTCTCAACCCTTGAGTCCTAGACATCCCAATCCTTTCCAGATGTGGCATTTTAATTAATTAATTGACTATTCTTGTTTTTTTGAGACAGGGTTTTGCTATGTAGTTCAGGATGGCCTTAAACTGGTAGCAGTCCTCCTGACTCACCCTCCTGAGTGCTGAGATTACAGGCATGAGCCACCATGACTAGCCTGAATATGGCCTTTTAAAAAGAATTTCCTCTTGGGCTGGGGATTTAGCTCAGTGGTTCCGCTGCCTGCTCTGCAAGCGCAAGTACCCAAGTTCTATCCCTGGTACCAAAAATAAATAAAAAAGAGAGAGATAATTAGGTCATGGGGGCTCCCCCATTAGAAATGGATTAATATCTTTCCTCCCCCAAAAAAGAATTTCCTCTGGCCTGGCTTCCTGTTCCCTTATCCACCTGGAAACCTCCTATACATTCCTCAAAACCCTGTCCAGGCACCACTCTTCTTTGAGGCCCTTCCTAAGCCCCTTCAGGTGCCTTCTGGCATTGCACTCCTCTCTCACACATTTGCTCCAAGGCTGGTGTCAGACCTGTCAGCCAGTGAAAGTTGCATGTTCCCTGCAGCAGCACCAGGGACCCACCTGTGGTGGCTTCACGAAGTCAGCCACATCCCACAGCCGGTTCCCCAACTCCTTGATCTGAGTCACGGAAACTCCTTTGAGTTTGGTGATGACAGAAATCTGGGGGTCCAGGTCCTGTTCCTGGTAACCTTTTTTGGCAAGGAGGGCCCACCTGGAGAGGGATGATGGATAGTGTGTTGAGATTGTGGCACCAAGTGAGTAGTGGAAGAGCAGGCTGGCCTCTATAAGATCAGCTTCCTCCTCGCATGCCCGGTGCTCCCAGCCTGGCAGAGGCTAGAACAGGCCAGAGGCCAGCTGGGCATCCAAGAGCCAGCATCTGCAATCAGAAATGCCCACAATAACCACTTTCACCAACCAACACCCCTGTCCTACTAGACTCTGCTCTCTTCTTCAAGACTCCTCAGACCCCCAGCTAGAACTGGTGGTCTCTCTGGGGGGCCTCAATGATCCAACTCTCAAGAATGTCAGAAACGACTGCTTCCTGCCCCACTAGGGTACCTCCTCTGGTAGGAGTGGGGCTGATCCTCCTCTTTGCCCAGAGCCCAACACAGGGCTGGGGACAAGGCCTTGGAAAGGAGGCAGGTCAGCACAGAGAAACACAAGCACACAGCTTGTTTATGTATACCACTGCCCTCTGAATGGACAAAGATCTTTCTGTCTACCCCCACCCTGTCACTACCTGACAGCCCACCACCAGCATCAGCCTGGTCTGTAAAAACCTAAACTCTCAACCCTCAGCCCAGTAGGACCAATCATGATCACTCTGACCAGTCTTGCCAAGAGCTGTTCTCTTACCCCACCACATAGGTCACAACTCCAAGCTGCAACAGCCTTTGCAAGGCTCCAACTCGCCAGTTCCTGGTCATCACATACTTCTCTGTCTTGTAATCCAGAAGCCCCCAGAGCCCCACAGCTCCTGAGGAGCCCATGCTCCTGCTCCTGCTGGCTGCTGGTGCATGAGTCAGCACAACAGCTGCAACCACAGCAGAAACAGGAGGCAAAGCAGCACCCGACTAAGCCAGGCCAGCCCTTGTTAAAGGGACACTTCCACTCAGGGCAGGGCCCAGCCTCCACACCCCAGCCCTGGGCTCAATCCCAAGCTTCAGCTGCCTTGGGGCTCGAATCCTATCCAAAATCTCTCCGATGAACCCTGGACACAGAGGAGCAGCCCCGCACCCTACCTTCTGGCTGCACTTCCTTGTAGCAGGGAATGACAAGTGTTTCAAGTACTGTGAGAGGCCTGTGTGGGGGCAGCGGGACCCCAGAGAAGAGCCCAAAGAAAAGTGCACGAAGAAATGGCTTCTGAGTTAACATTTGCCGATTCTGAAGTGCAGCAAAGGAAGCTGGGGAGAGAAGTTCCTGATGAAGACAGCAGCATCACAAAGACCAGAGCATGAGAGAGAACTGAACTCCAGTGAGAATATACAGTTGCAGAGAGCAAGGTGACCTGACTCTGCAGGTTCCCCAGAACTTCCTAGAGCCGTGCCCCACCCTCTGAGTGTTTCCCAATCCTTGAAAGTGGTGCGTCGCTGGAAACTCACAAGGGAACAGGAAAAACGAACCCCCGCTAGGCGCCAGCCCTGTGCAGGGCCAGTGGCACGCACTCTTAACAGTGTGGGCGAGCAGTTGGCTCAAGGTCAGCGCAGTCCAGGCTCAGTTTCTGCGGCAACCATCAACACGGGGTTGCCCGGGAGACCGTAACGTGAAGCCCGCAGCTATGGGCTACGGCGAACACTTGTTGTCTGTATGCCATATTGTATTGGTCATCCAGGAAGGAGGGTCCGCCCACATCTCCAGGCAGCGTCCGAAATGTGGCGGCGCGCGGCCTTGGGTTCAGTGTAGGTGACTGCGAAATGGGCGTAACTATGGAGGATCCTTTCGAGAACTCTGCGGAAAATGAACAGGAGGAAGAGGCGAAGGCGGCCGCTGGGCATTTTGCAGAGGTCGCGGAGGTCGAGAAGGGCTCTGATGCAGATTCGGACTCTGACCTGGAGACAGAAGGTGCCCCCAGTAGGGGGCCAGGCTTGACTCCTCATCTTGAGGGATGGGAGGGGGGGGTTGGAGGGAAGGGGCGTGGGCTCCATGGAAGCACGCTCTTTCGTGGGCCACCTTTAGAGCAGCCAGTGGCCCCTTCAGTTCCGGTACCTACCCTTCCGGTAGGCATCAGAGGTTCCATAATTAAGAACACCCTTCAGAACGCCTTTTAAACACAAACCCCTGACAAATTGTGTAGGAAGAGGTGTCCTATCCTGAGATGGATTCAGGCCTGGGTTTTCCTAATCTTCAGGAAAATCCAAGCTACTGGATGTATAGAATTTAGAATTGTTTCAGGTTTTGCTCCCATAAAGTGTTCATAAAACATGATGATCACGGACCAGGTGTGGTAGCACAAGCCTATAATCCCAGCACTCAGGAAGCTGAGGCAGGAGAATCGCTGTATGTTCAAAGCCAGCCTAAACTACATAGTGAGACTTTGCCTCTAAAAACCACAAAAAATTGTGATCTGTGATGGAGGGGCAGGGGACACATCATGCACTTTGGCATCAGACAGGCAGTGTCCCAACTTTGACTCTGACTACCTGTGTGACTAGAAAAGGGATTTACCTGCTTTGAGCCTTGATATCCTCATCTGTAATAATGTAGGAATAGTCCCAATAGCATAGGAAGAAATGCCTATAGAGGAGAAAGAAGCTAAATAGTAGCAGAGGTCAGAAGAAGGGGAAGAAGCAGAGAGGGGAAGAAGCAGAGAGCATGCCAGTAAAGGGGTCTGCATTTGTTTCCTTGTCTCCTCCCAGGGATCCATGGACTTGGAGAAATGGTCAAGGATACCCTCTACCTGGGATTTTGCCAGGCCCTTAATGTTGTGCCTGCCTCCTGCTTTCTGCGCCAAGAGAATGCTCCAGAGTTGAACCTGCAGCATCGTGGCCTGGGGCCCCAGGTACCTGTAGGGAGACACTGGGGATAGTGGCCATGGGAATGTCTCTCCTTGAGTCCATCCCACTCACAGTTAGCTATTTTCTGTGCCAGCATTCCCTTCTCCACATCTGGTAGGTAGGATAAAGGCTGTGACAGAGATCAACGTAAGGGTTGGGAAGCCTGTAGGCTCCTAGTATGCTGGAAGGCCACAGAAAGCACCGGGAGGTGAGCTCTGGATAGAGCCTAGGAGATGCAGGTGTCCACTTGGGAATGTGGGATAGGGAAGCCTTTCCAGTTGGTGAGTACATGAATGGGCTGAGCCCTGGGAGCACAAGCCAGGGAAGTGGCCAGATGTGTCAGGCTCCTCAGCCCTGGGAAAGATCAAAACCCTCAGGCCCCTCTGCTCTGTCCCAGGGAGCCCTGGCTCTGGCTTCCACGTTGACCTCCAATCCCTACATCAAGCGACTGGGTCTTCGGGACAATGGGCTCTGTAGAGCTGGCGCAGAGGCCCTGGCAGATGTCCTGAGCAAAAACAGGAGCATCTCTGGTAGGTGCTGAACCTGGGGCAAGTGAGAGTGCTGGAGTCTTCCTTATCCCCAGGGATGTGCTTACCCCAAGCCAGGCCTTCTCATTTGGAGCCTACTGGTATTGCTGGGAGATGGGGGAGGTCCTCTCCATGGGCTGGGGCACATGGGGCTGGAGTTAGACCCATTGTGGATCCACCCAGTGCTGGATTCTGCTCTTTTCCTAACCTGACACATCTGTTCACTTCCCTCCTCTGCTGACCAGTACATACACACACATGCATGCATGTAAAATTTAGTACCTGAATTCAGTTTGGGAGAGTCTTTCTTCACAAAGAGACAGGCTGGACAGTGGGATGGGAGGACACCATGAGAGTTTGTTGAGGCTGGATCCAAATGGCAGCTCTGCCACTGAAGAGTAGACTGACCTGGGCAAGCAACCCAACCTTGCTGAGATTGTTTCCAATCCCTGAAATGGATCCAGGAATACCACTTAGCTTTTGGGGTTGTGGTGAGAATTAAATGAAATTGCACATGTGAAGTGGTCAGAGAGTATTTGGTCCATATAAGTGCTCCCTGCATGGCCTCCTGGGCTAGTATTGCCAGTCCCTGGCAAGAGGGCAGAGAAGGCTTCTATGGGTGGATCATATCGCTGCCAGACACCAGGCACCAATGGGGTGGCTGCCCCTCCACCACAGCTCCACAAGGTAGGTGGTTTTAACCCTTGTCAGAGAAGTTCATGGAGGTGCAAGAAGGTTGAAGCCAGGGGTCCAAGGGCATCAACCAATGGGTAGCAGAACTGCTACCATGTAATCCCAAGACAGTCCAACTGCAAAGGCCTTCCTCTGCCTCCAGTCTGGAAGTTTAGGGGATGGAGAAAGGTGGTGGAGGGAGGTGCCTGGCTTTAGATCCCACTGACCAAGGAGTGGTGCTGTCCCCCAGATGTAGACCTGTCAGAGAACCAGCTTGGAGCAGCAGGGGTCCAGGCTCTCTGTGCCGCCCTCAGAGTGAACCAAGCAGTGCAGAAGATGCAGCTGGCAGGGAACAGCCTGGAGGAGCAGGCAGCCAAGTACCTTGCTGATCTTCTGCTGGTCCATACAGGCCTGAAATCCCTGGACCTCAGCTATAACCAGCTAAATGACCAAGCAGGTAACACTTAGTCTGGACTGCCATGGAACATGATAAGTTCATCTTCCTGTGGTGGCAGGGGAGGGGGAGTAGAAGGACTACAATAAGCATCTGCCAGAGAACATCTGTGCCCTAGTTTCTGCTCCTACACCCACTTTGGCTCATACCCCTCCCAGCTGAGCCACACCAAACTCTTAATTCATTCAAGTATCTCATGGCCCATGGCTATACCTGGTTGACACCAATTTAGCCTCTACAAATCTAGCTGCTAAGGGGCAGGGATTTAGCTCAGTGGTTCTGTCACCTGCCTTGCAAGCAGAAGGTCCTGAGTTCGATCCCCAGTACCAAAAAAAAAAAATCTAGCTGCTAATAAAATAGAGTCCCTGACCTCAAGAAGCACATGTTAACAAGATAATTCCCAGTAAATATTGGTGTAAAAAACAAACAGGATATGGTTCTAGAAAAGAATGGGAGACCTCTTGCTTTAGAAAGGTGGCTGGGAAGGCCTCTATGAGAAAATGACATTTAAGCTGAAATGTGCAGGCTGGGAAGGAATCAGCTATGGCATGACCAGAGTGAGGGAATTTCAAGGAGAGGAACAGTGAGTGTGCAGGCCTGTTTCCCAAATATGACAATAGCCAGCATGACTGGATAATGATCCAGAGGATAGTGACCAGTCTATAGCATGTGGAGACAAGAGGCGGCTGCTGAGATGAAGATCATGGTAAAGGTATGATGATTTTATCCCAAGAGCTGTGAAAGACATGGTGGGATACTTCGATCTCATCACTGCCTTTCATGCCCTAAGGCCTTGGCATAGGTTTTCTGCTTTGTCAGGAATATAAACTTCCACATGTGTGTGTCCCTAAATTCTCCAGTCAATTATAACAGTCACCTAAAAGATGAGTATAATGGTGTTCACTGTAGTCCCAGCTATTTGAGGGGCTGTGGCAAGAGGATTGCTTGAGCCTAGTAGTTCAAAGTCTGCCTGAGCAACATAGTGAGATCTTTGTCTTTAAAAACAAGAGCCAGGCTAGGCTTGATGGCACATGCCTGTAATCCCAGTACTCAGGAGGCTGAGGCAGGAGGATTGCCATTAGTTTGAGGCCAGCCTGGGCTACATGGTGAACTCAAGGCCAGCCTGAACTACATAGCGAGACCTTGTCTCAAAAACAAACAAAAAACAGGGCCGGGGATTTACCTCAGTGGTTTCGCGGCCTGCTGCGCAAGCCCAAGGACCTGAGTTCGATCCTCGGTACGAAAACAAAACAAAAAACAAACAAAAAAAACCAAGAGCCAGGCATGGTGGAACATGCCTGTAATCTTAACTACTCAGAAGTCTGAGACTGGAGGATCACAAGTTCAAGACCAGGCTGGGCAAATTAGCAAGACTGTCTCAAAATATAGGAAGGGCTAGGATATAACTCAGTGTTAGACTACTTGCCTAGGGTGTGCAAAGTCCTGGGTTAAATCCCCAGTACCACAAAAAGAGAGGAGGAGGAGGAGGAGAAGGAAGAGGAGGAGGAAGAAGAAGAGGAGGAGGATTATATCCTGGGTATAGAGATAGATTCTTGGGCTCTGGACCTGATGGACCAAATTCTTGGGGGGAATGCACATACATGTTCATTTTAGTGGGTGCCCCAGGAGAACTGTCTGATCTGGAAAGTTTTTGAATTTTTGGTGGGTCTCAAGCCACTTAGAGTAATTGAGATGGCACCAGCCTTGGCCAGTGAAAATTGGCCCTGGAGTTTAACTACCAGAGCTAGTATGCCTTCTGGGGAAATTAATGTGGAAAGCCAATGAAATTAAAGGAGAGGCTCATTTCAGACTTTGATGAACTAAGTATTGGTGTCTCTTTAAGACTTCATGGTTAGAGTGTGTGTTAGTCAGCTTTCTGGTAGTATAATAAAAACCTAAGGTGATTAACTTAGAAAAGGGATAGTTCGGCTTATGTTTTTGGATTCCATGATAGATTTGCTCCATCATTTTGGGCCTGTGGCAAGGCTGGAGCATGTGGCAGAGGAAAACTGATTAATTCATGGCTGGGGAACAAAGAGGGGATGATGGAGTCCCACGATCCCCTTCCAGGGCACATCACCCAGTCAACAACTTAAAAACCTCCCACTAAGCACCAGCTAAAGACTTCACCACTTTCCAGTTGCACACCCCAGGAAGCAAGCCTCTAAAACAGGAACCTCTGAGAGACACTTAAAATACCAAGTATAAAGCTGAGAATGGTGCATGCCTGTAGTCCCAGCACCCTGCGAAGCTGAGGCAGGAGAAACAAGATCAAGCCCAACCTGGGAAATTTAGCAGCTTAGCCATGACCCTGTCTAAAAAACAAAACAAAACAAAAAAAACTAGCAATGGGCAAGTGCCAAAGAGGCAGCCAGAATGGAGCAGCTGGAATCAAAGGCCCTACAACAGTGGGCAAACACACAGTATACACAAGGGGGCCAGTGTGGGACCTAGTAAAAGGACAGATTCAACCAGGCCATTTTGTTTCTCTAAGTGGGTCCGGAGGGTGTGTGACTCCCTTGAGGGGTAAAGGATTTCGGGTCTTAGACCTCTCACCTGACCAATCCCACTAGTAGCGCCTAGCTTACAGGATAACAGCGGGAGTCAGAGACCAAGGATTGGCAGTTAGAGACACGTCAAAGAAAACTTCCTCACCTTCCAGCTATTCAGCAAACAAAAGAGATGATCCAGGAAGTGGGGAACCATTCCCTCCCTTTTTAGTCCCAGAAATGTCTGAGAAGGAGGAAGTACCTATCTGACAACCTGGGGGACATCAAATCCAGCACTGTGTACTGAGTCGGGGTCTGAGAGAGGCAGTGCCAGAAATCTTCAGGGCTACGCAGGGAACTCTCCGAGGTGCTAGATGTGTCTGCTGCAGCGTGTGCTAGCCAGGGGAGTAGGCAGGCTGAGCGCTCTGATCAGTTAGTCCATTCATTTTTCTTCTGTGTATTTCTCCAGACCAGCCTTACTAGACTTGTTCTAGGTGTTAGGATCTTGGAGAGAGTTCAAATCCAATCTTTGGGAGACTCCTAGTCTGGTGGCAGAGACCAGCCAGGCAGAGAGAGACCTAATGGCTAGAATTTAGAAGGGGCATTGACCAAGCAGGCAAGGCTTCCTGATCTGAGAACCCAGATTAGAAGGACAAGGAGCTGTTAGCCAGGTGAAGAATCGAGTTCCAAGTTCCAAAGTGTAGGGTCAGCTGGAAGGCATGTTAATGCTGGAGCTCTGGAGAAGTGGAAGGTCAGGCTGGTCCAGAAGTGACAGAATGGGGAGAAGGCTTGGGAGTGGGATTCTTCCCCATTTTCCATGCTAAATATATCGCAGGGATTCCCACACCACCCCCTTCCTTTCTTGCTACCCTTGCCTCCTCTCCACCATAGCTGTGTCAGTCTTTTCACCTCTGACCTAAACTATAGCATAAGCCCTTCACTGAGTCAACCAGCTACTGTCTCTGCCAATGTCTTCCAGCCACTAGAAATCTTGCTGAAATACTAATCCCAGCTTGTCACTTCTAAAGCCTTCCCTGGGGCCCAGGATTTAGCTCAGTGATTCCACCACCTGCCTCAAAAGCACAAGGATCCGAGTTCGATCCCCGGTACCAAAAAAAAAAGTGCATAAAGCCTTCCCTGATTCTTCAGTCTCCTATAGGGCAGTGCCTGAGCTCCTTTGGCTTAGCATTCAAGGCTTCTTGCCCTCTCTCAAGAAGTGCCCTATCTCATTGCTCCTGTTTCCTCCTTCTCCAGACCTGAGTGTGTTTCCACACATGTCTGCACATCTTTTCTTTCCTGTGTCTACTGTCCATATGTATATGAACATGAATGATGGATTTCTTAGTTCAAAGTTATCTCTGTCCTTGCTTCCCTGACCGCACTAAGGCCACCACTCTGTTCCTACCCCTCCCTGTTTGTAGTTTATAATAACTCATATCCCATAATTTGTATTTGCATCTTCCCCATTAAATATGAGTTTCTTGAGGGCAGAGCAGGCTCATGTTAAATTCATCCCTGTGATCCTCCTGCCCAGCAGAGACTCTGGCACAGTAACACCAGTATCCATCTTTGAAGGAATGAACAGAGTAAGAAGGTCTCTCTTGGTGTCTTGAAGGAGAAACCCTTGGACCAGCACTGGCAGAAAACCCAGGACTCACAGAACTTAACATGAGCTGGAATCACCTCAGAGGCCCAGGAGCTGTAGCATTTGCCAGGGGATTGGAGGTATGAGACCCCTACCAAGTCAGCCCCTGGGGCAGGTCCTCTGGGTGCCAGCTTCTTGTCTTTGCCATTCTTCAGAAATGAACCTTGGATCTTTTAAGCAGAGATTAAAGGATATTTCTTTAGGTTACTTTTATTTTCTTGGCCTCATTTAATAACTAGGTCCACTAGGTACACCCTCATGTCATTTACTGAAGGGTCCACAGCTAAATGTCAAGCACCTTTTCCAGACATCACAGACAATCATCTGGCAGAGACATCTATGCTTCTGGTGTGCTTACTGTTGACATACACACACCTGCTGTCCTGAGATGACACCCTTCACCCCTGGGTGCCAGCACACCTTCTCAAACATTCAACCTGCTCCCTTGCATGTTATGAATCATAATTTTAGGAACAGGCAACTCAGGGCCTACCAAAGTGTCACCAGCATCTTCAACGTCTCCAATCCCAGCTGACTTTGTGTGGTCCCCCTAAGGGAAAACAGCTACTACCTTGTCCACTTAAACAGGGACTGACATGAGGGTCCTGCCTCATGAGGTGGCAGTCAGGTTGAGTCTTGTCAGAGCCTGCACCCTTCTCCCCATCACAGTTCCTGAGAAAGGTTGCATCCAGCAGCCTTCTCTGGCCCCTGGCCCCTAGGGCTGCACTGTGTCTCAAGGTCCCTTATCCTTGAGAAACTCCCACATGGCTGTGGATTTGATCACTGTGTTTGTGGCCTGCTGCTGCCTGGTTTCTGAGATCATTCACACCCAAATCCATCTTCCTCTGATGGACTCTGTTGGGCTCTGAGGCTGTGGCTCCTGGCTTTCTCCACCATCAGATGTGGTCCCATGGCTTCATTCTTTTTCCTCTAGGCAAACATCTTCCTGAAAGTCCTGGACATCTCTTACAATGGTTTTGGAGACCTTGGAGCCTTGGCTGTGGCTGAGGCCCTGAAGGCCAACAATGTGTTGGAGGAACTCAACATGAGGTGAAGCACAGGGCTGCCCTGCCCAGAGACAAGGGTACCACAATCTTACTGCTATTCCATTTGATTTCTGGACCTACCACAATTTCCCCAGATGGGGCTTGAGCAACATCCAGAGCACTCAGCTCCATCCTTCTCACGTAAAATTATCACTTATGGCCAGGCATGGTGGTTTACACCTGTAATCCCAGCACTCTGGAGGTGAGACCCTATCTCAAGATTTTAAAATGGGGGCTGGGGATTCAGCTCAGTGGCACTGCACTCACCTCACAAGCATGAGGTCCTGAGTTCAATCCCTGGTACCGCAAAAAAAAAAAAAAAAAAAAAAAAAAAGAATAATGTTTCTCTTCCCTTCACAAGTGCAAGGTCCTGAGTTTGATCCCTGGTACAATAAATAAATAAATAAATAAATAAATAAATAAATAAATAAATAAATAAAAATGGGCTGGGGCTGTAGCTCAGTGCAGAAGAGGTCCTGGGTTCAATCCCCAGTACCAGGGGGAAAAAAAAGATCATCACTTATATGTTGAAATTTATCATTCCTATGGTGCAGGTAGGTGGCTGGGGATCATAGATGTGTATAAAGCATCTTCATGGGGCCTGGTACAGAAGGGGTACCCCATGTGACCTTTCATTTTTCTCAGGCTGCTGGGAGCCTGCTCTGTGTGGGGTGCTTCTCCAGGCCAGGCAGGGACTTGGACCTTAGTAGGTAATAGGGTAGGGGCAAACACTGAAAAGAAAAGAGGTCTGGACCAGGTAGATAATGGATTGCTATAGCTGAGCCCTCCCCAGGGGGCTGTCCCTGTAGGCTGGGAGACCCCATTCAGTCCAGCCCACCTTTCCTCCCCATGGGAATAGCCAAGGCTAGAGATAGCCTTAAGAGATGATAAGCTGGGTGTAAGAAGTCAGAGAGAAATGGGACTGGCTCTGGAGGCAAAGTGGCCCAGAGCTGAGGCCTGAGGTTTGGGTCCAACAGAAGGAGGAGGAGGAAGAAAGGATGTAGACAGGGAGCTGAGTGATTTTTCTAGAACAGATGTTGTCATGGTGATAGCCATGAGGTGCCATCTGGGGAGAGCATGTGGGAGCACCTGCTGAGTTTTAAAGGGCCAGGGAGTAGCAGCTGGGCCTCACCAGGGTGAGGCACACTCTAGGTGTGTTCACTGGGTGATCTCCTGTATCTATCTTTTACATATAGGCATGAGTAGAAAGATGGTATGTGAAATTCAATTTGTAGGATGAAACAGCAGCTGCAGCAAGGACCTTGGGGGCAATCAGCCCTGAACAAATGTTTGAAAGGCTGCAAGATGCATACGTCTTTTTTAAATTAATACAAATTAATTGTATATGTTAGTGGGGTTTGGTGTGATATCTTCTTCATGCAACATGCACTAATCAAATTCAACCTTTTTCTAGCTTTCCTCTCCCCATTCCCTTTCCAGTCTCTAGTAATCACTATTCTAGTTTTAGTTTTATTGTTGCTGTTCTTTTTAGCTTTCATTTTCACATATGAGAGAGAATATGCAGTGATTTTGTTTGGGGGGTATTGGGTAGGGATTAAACTCGGGCTTTGTGCATGCTAGGCAAGCCCTCTACCACTGAGCTATACTCCATCCCCAAAATATGCTTGTCTTGTCTTTCTGTGCTTGGCTTATTTCACTTAACATAACATCCTCCATGTAAATGACAGGATTTTATCCTTCTTTATGGTTGGATACTACTCCATTGTATATGTATGCCACATTTTCATCTGTTTTTGACACCTGGATTGATTCTGTATTTCAGTATGATGCATGTCTTTTGTGTTGCAGCAACAACCGCATCTCTGCAGCGGGAGCACTGAGCCTGGGACTGGGGCTCCGGGTCAACCAGACACTGAGGATTCTTGTGGTGAGTGTTGAGCTGGTGGGGGAGGTCCCAGCACATAACTGCCCTATGCCTGTCTACATAGGTTTGTCCCCCACCTCAGGGCCAGTGGATGGGCAGCAGTGCACACAGGTCCCACAACCCTGATGGGAGTCTCTGGGAGGGGCTTCCCAGCTTCCTCTTGTGACCCCTTCCTCCACTTGCCCTTCACTCTGGCCTAGCCCATACCCAGCTCCAGACTCCTCCTTTCTCTACCTTTCCCTCCCAGTCAGTAGCTGCCCCACAACTCCTTGCTGTCCTTCCTTCTCCTCCTGTGAGGGTGATGTTCTGCTGAAGGGGCCAGAGCACCTCTAGTGTTGCCTTTGTCTTCTCCCCTGCTTTTTCCTCTGGCCTTGGTGGAACTCAGAGTCAGCCCAGGCATAGTGGATGGCCACTGACCAGACCTACTGAGGCCTGTGTACCAGCACTAAATACTTTCCTTAGAATTGTGGAACAGAGGGAGACTGAGCAGGCAGGGCTGAGAGCAGGCCACGGAGAAGGGAGGAAGCCAGGCAAGGGTGGAGGAGGTGCCGGAGGACTGCTGCACCAACAACACATGCCTGGGTGGGGTTGGCATCTGGCTCTGCCTGACCCTCAGCTTCCCAACCCCAGCATCCCCAGTGCTTCTCTCATTACCCTCCACCCCCACTGCAGGAACCCAGACCTCTCTCAAGCTTGGATTCACATTTTGAGCCATCTGCTGGATGGTCCCCAAATCACAAGGAACTCTGACAGTCCAACTTAAATGCACCATCTCCTCCTTTAAAAATTTTTTTCTTATTTTTAAATTAAATTTTCCAACATTTATTTATTTATTTATTTATTTATTTATATATTACCTCCTTCTGAGAGCTGCCTCTCAGTGGGGAGAACCAAGTCAGAAGCCTAATCCATCTTTCCCTTCCCCATATCTTCCCTCCGAGGTCTCTCACCTGCTACCGACCGCTTAGGCTGCTGATTTCTCTTTTTTCTCACTGTCTGTCTTCCAGGATTTGTTGACTTCCTAGTTTCCCCAGCCCTAGTCCTTCCTTCCCAGCTGCCACCTGACGGTCTTTCTAAACTGGAAATGTGCCCCTGGCATTCCTGCTTTAAACCTGTCACTTCTCATAAACCCAAGCTTCATAGTTCATTACTCATAGCACATGATGGGGGATCTGGGCTTAGCCAACCTCCCCTCTTCCAAGCTCATCACTCTCACTCAGAATTCTAGGAATTCACACACACACACACACACACACACACACACTCAGTTTACTGTTTTCCACCTCTGCTTTTGCTCCTGTTGCTCTTGCTGAAATGGTCAACTCTGCCATCCTCACCTATAAAGCTTAGTTCGGGGGTTTTACTGTCCAACCTTTCCTCCAAGCTGGGGTTGGTGCACACTTTCATTGAATTTATTACAGTGAGTTTGAGTTTGATGTTTCCTTCTTTTTCCTTCCCTCTAGTGGTTAAATTCTTTAGGGCCAGGTATGTTCTGTGTCTGTATCTGGTACTTAGCACTGAGTCAAGAATAGGGTGGGTGCCCAGTCAGTACCCACTCCCTTCCTCTCTTCCTCAACCCAGTAGCCTCACCCAGGATCCTCTGTCCTGTGAAGCCACTTGCTCAGCTGAGGTAGTGAGGCTGACCTAGTCATGTCCTCAGAGATGAGGAGTCCATCTTCCCTTGAAAGTTGTTCTCCAACTTACCTGGCCTTGGCTTCTCTCAGTTCTCTGTGTATGTGTCATTCTTAGGTATCCAGGAATCCCATGCAGAGTGAAGGCTGCTTTGGTCTCCTCAAGTCTGTCCGGGACAATCCAGCATCTGCCTTAGAACTGCTGGATTTCTCCGTAAGAGCTTTTTATAAGCCTTATCTCTGATCCTCCAACAGCCCTGTGAGCTACTATCATCTCCATTTGAGAGGCAGATTGGGGATTGGAGAAATAAAGTGTCCTGCCCAGGTATACCATGTGGCAGGGTCAGAGTTCCAACCCAGGCCTGAATGTAGATTGTGAGAAAGCTTCAGCTCTGCTTCCACTCTAGGTTGGCGGCTTCGTTATGGTCTCTCTCACCTTGGGTCCCTGCGTGGGCCCTTAATTGGTTGAAGGAGAAGAGGTGGAGGTTAAGGGCTTGATGCTCTCTGTCCACTTATGTTTGGATCTTCGGGTTCAGCACTTGCAAGCTGCCTTCCCCTCCTGCTCCATGCCCTGACCTTTACTGCCTGAAGGTAGATTCTGACTCTGGGAGATTCATGTGTGTGACTGTGAGGGAGGTTAGGACTCCTTTTCATTCAATGTTGCCTTTTTAATATAGAAAAAGTCACTCTTTTCTAAGGCAATTAATCACTAAGGAGATAATTTTTGTTTTGTTTTTTGAGATAGGGTCTTGCTATGTAGTTCAGATCAGTCTTAAACTCACTGTGTAGCCCAGGTTGGACTTGAACTTGAGGCAATCCTCCTGCCTCAGCCTCCCAAGTACTGAGATTACAGGCATGCATCACCACACTGAGCTGAGAGAATTTTAAAATTTAAAATTTAAAATTCTTAAAAATTAGAAGTTTTGGCCCAGGGATTTAGCTCAGTGGTTTTGCCGCCTGCTGCGCAAGCGCAAGGACCCGAGTTCGATCCCGGTACCAAAAAAAAAAAAAATTAGAATTTTTTGTATGTGTGTGGTGCTTAGGATATAACACAGGGCTTCACCCATGTAGGCAAGCACTCTATCACTAAGCTACAACCCCAAACACCAAAAATATTTATTATTAAAAGAAAAGTCAAGCTAAATTTTGACTTATTTCAACCCAGACTTGAGTCATAGGCTTTCTAGAGATGTATCCCACGTCTTTCAGATTTTGAAATAGCTAATGGTAAAGCCAGCAAGTAGCATGCCTTGACCATATCTCTTCTGCTTTGAAAATGCTTGTCAGCACTGGATGCTGTTGTTCTAAAGAGGGGGGTGGTATGTGGGGTGTGGTGGTGCACACCTGTAATCCCAGCACTTGGGAGGCTGAGGCAGGAGGATTGCAGTGAGTTCAAGGCTAGCCTGGGCTACAAAGCAAGACCCTGCCTCAAAAACAAAACAAAAAGTACATGCTTATTTAGTACAATGTATGGTCATTAGCCAAGGCCTCTAGTATAATGGAAATACCTGGGGCTTTGGAGTCACTTCTGACCTGAGACCAAATCCTGGGTCCATTAATGTGGGATACTGCACAAGATTCTGAACCAGAGAATCACCACTTGTATCCTGGATCTAATGTTCTACTTTCTATCCCTTAAATGTTAATCATTAGTCTGAGCTGACTAGTCCAGATGCTGTCCTTAGCTTTTGAAGCATATGCCTATGAATACTTATAGTTCAAGTAAAACACTTCATAGGGTTCAGCCTTGTCTATATGGGAAACGGGTCTGACAAACACCTCCCAGGGGCATTATGAAAACAGGATGACAGCAAGGCATGGTGGTGCACACCTGTAGTCCCACCTACTCAGGTAGCTGAAGCAGGAGGATTACTTGAGTCCAGGAGTTCAAGGCCAGCATGGGCTGCATAATGAGATCCCCATCTCAAATAATAATAATTAAATTACTTGAAAAATAGGATGAGATATTAGAAAGGGCTTTCAGAGAGTCAATCAGTTCTATTTCTCTTCTCCAAACCCCTTTGTTTTAAATTTTTTATTAATTTAATTACTATGCTAAAAAGTGCACATAGATTAAGGTTAGATTGTAAATAGCATATACCTATGTAACGAGCCCCCAAATCAAGAAATAGAGCATCCCCTAAAAGCTCTCCTTTAACTTCTGTTTCTTCTCTATTCTAATAGTTTAGGTAGTATGAGATTGTCATGCCCAGGAGGGAAACTGCCCAAAGGGGCTTCAAGATTGTGTGTGCAAGTAAAAATAATCAACTTCTCAGAAAGTATTCACACACTGCCTTGTAATTGGTTTTTCCTTAGGATATTGAGGTAAACAGAGAGTTTGATGACCTTGCTAGCTCAGTGAAGGTAATTCTTCCAGGCCTGTGCATAAAGAAGCGTGCTCACAGAGTGGAGTATAAAGGAGTTGCTGCTGGTCTTCAGACAGTACCCACCCACACCTGCACCTAAATGACTTTGGACTGTGGCTTCCTTATTTCCTCCAGTAAGTTTCAGCTACCACATGGGGCCATCTAACTCATGGCACATGTGTCTTCCTCTCTGCCTCACAGCCCCTGCAATGATCTAGACCTTTACTTGCCACCACTTACTCACATAATACAAATCCTACACAATGAGCTGGATGCAGGGTCAAAGACGTCTCCCTCCTGAGGTTCATGGTCTGGTGATCTTCATAGACAAAATATAAGGAGTTGTACACCTGGCATCCTCAAACTCTTCCTGCAAGGATGAAAACTGTCACAACTCTCTTTGGAAGGCAATTTATTGTTATGCACTGAGCCTTAAAACTACCTGTGCCCTTTGATCCAATCCTTTGATTAATCTGCTCTAAAGAAATAAGCAGAGATTCGTGAAAAGACGGATGCCTGAAAATGTGCCCTGAAATGCTGTTTATAGCAATGAGAACTGGAAGTAATTTAAATGTTCAAAAACCAAGACTGAATTCTGCCAGTAGTTTTTGCTTATTTGTTTTGTTTCGTTTTGTTTGGAGATAGGGTATTGCTATGTAGTTCATGCTGGCCTAGAACTCATTATGTAGCACAAGCTGACCTCAAACTTGCAGTGATCCTCCTAGCTCAGGCTCCCAAGCGCTGGGATTTCAGAGGTGCACCACCATGTCCCATGTGAATTCTTTTTTTCCCCGTATCAAGGAAACTTAGGACCTTTCGCATGCCACGCAGGTGCAATGCCACTGAGCTACATCCCCGGCCCCAGTCTGAATTCTGCCAGTATTAAAAGTCACATACTCGGGCCAGGGATTTAGCTCAGTGGTTCCGCCGCCTGCCTCGCAAGCACAAGGACCCGAGTTCGATCCCCGGTACCAAAAATTAAAAAAATTTAAAAAAATAAAAGTCACATACTCAAAGAACATTGAACAATTCATGAAAATACACATGATTAATGTTAAGCAAGAACATCAAAATAAAAATATCATGTGGTTTGTCTAGTACAATCTCAAAAAGTTAAATCACAGGGGCTGGGGATTTAGCTCAGTGGTTCTGGTGCCTGCCTCACAAGCGCAAGGACCTGAGTTTGATCCCCAGTACCAAAAAAAAAAGTTAATCACAGATTTATCATATTACCCAGTACTTTCATCCCTAGATATATAGTAAAGAGAAATGAAACCATATATCTACCTTAAAGGATGTACACAAATGTTCATAGCAGCATTACTCATAATAGCCTAAAAGTAGATGCTCACTAGTGGATAAGTACAATGTGGTATATCCAAACAATGGAATATTACTCAACAATAAAAGGGATGAAATATAGGACAATAAAATGTCCTAATATTGATTATGGTGGTAGTTGTACAACTATGAATATACTAAAAATAACTGACGTACATAGAACTGTAAATGAGAAAATTTTGAGTATATAAATTATATCCCAATAATGCTGGTTTTTTATTTTTTTATTTTTTATTTTTCTAATTTTTTTTTTGAGATAGAGTCACACTCTAATTTAGGCTGGCCTCGAACTCATGGCAATCTCCTGCCTCAGCCTCCAGAGTGCTGGGCTTACAGGGATGCGCCACTACACCTGCTATTGCTATTGCTGTTTTTTAAAAGGAAAAGTACTGATACATGGATCAAATTTGAAAATATAATACTGGGCCAGGGATTTAGCTCAGTGGTGCTGCCACCTGCCTCGAAAGCGCAAGGTCCTGAGTTTGATCCTCGTTACCAAAACAAAACAAAAAAAACCCCTGAAAATGGGGCTGGGGATTTAGCTCAGTGGTTCTGGCACCTGCCTTGCAAGCGCAAGGTCCCAAGTTCGATCCCCAGCACCAAAAAAATAAAAAATAATAAAAATAAAATAAAATAAACCCTGAAAATATAATACATGATGCCGGGCATGGTGGTGCACACCCATAGTCCCAGGACTGGGGAGGCTGAGGCAGGAGGATTACTGCAAGTTCAAGGCCAGCCTGGGGTACATAGTGAGTTCAAGATCAAACTGAACTACATGAAAAGACCTTGTCTCAAAAAAAAAAAAAAAAAAATCGGCCTGGGCATTTAGCTCAATGGTTCTGCCACCTGCCTCAAAAGCGTAAGTTCCCAAGTTTGATCTCTGGTACCAAAAAAACAAAAACAAACAAAAAAGAAAGAAAGAATATTATATGAATAGAACCAGTACAAGGCTACATATTTTATGATTCTTTTTATTTTTTATTTTATTTTATTTTTTTTGGTACCGGGGATCGAATTAGGGTCCTTATGCTTGCGCAGCAGGCGGCGAAAACACTGAGCTAAATCCCCAGCCCTATGATTCCTTTTATATGAAATATCCAGAATAGGCAAATCTAGAGGGGCGGAAAGCAGGTTATAAGTGGCCTAGTGATCAATTAGGGATTGGCAGCCAATGATACAGGTTTTGTTTGGAGATGGCGAAACTGTTCTAAAATTGATTATGATGATGTGCAACTCAGTGTATATACTTTTTTTTTGGTACCAGGGATCAAACTGTGGACTTTGCACTTGCAAGGCAGGTGCTGGAACCACTGAGCTAAATCCTGGGCCCATCAGCCCAGCCTGGCGCTATGATGCATCCCTGTTTAGGAGGTATAGGAAAAGGATCATTTAAGCCCAGGAGTTGTAGACCAGCTTGGGCAGCATGACAAGAACCCATCTCAGCCAAAACAAAAAACAAAATTAAGACTTCCATTTTCCTGAATTTTCACAAGCTAAAGCTCGA